GGTTCATCCCACAGCGCCAGTCCTGCTTACCAAGAGTGGCCCACTTGGCACTCACCATCCATTGTCAGAGCTTCGATTAAGCAAGCCTGACTTCTCACCCATTTAAAGTTTGAGAATAGGTTGAGGTCGTTTCGGCCCCAAGGCCTCTAATCATTCGCTTTACCGGATGAGACTGATTTAATCAAGCGCCAGCTATCCTGAGGGAAACTTCGGAGGGAACCAGCTACTAGATGGTTCGATTAGTCTTTCGCCCCTATACCCAGTTCCGACGATCGATTTGCACGTCAGAATCGCTACGAACCTCCATCAGAGTTTCCCCTGACTTCGTTCTGACCAGGCATAGTTCACCATCTTTCGGGTCCCAACGTGTATGCTCTTGGTACGCCCAACCCTCAAGGGTATAGACGTCCAGGAGATGCGCACACACTTGTCAGTTGAAAAAAACCTTGCGGCATACCAACAAGTGCCATGATCTCTCCTCAGATTCGCAATCGAATCCTTTACTTTCATTATGCCTTTGGGTTTTCATTCCCAATGACTCGCATACATGTTAGACTCCTTGGTCCGTGTTTCAAGACGGGACAGGCAGACCACGCATGCATTAGATTGCAATCCACTGAACAGAGCCAAATATTACTCGTACCGACAATCAGCCTCGTACAACATGCTACGGAATAAACCGTCCACACATCATACGCACACAACTCGTACAAGCCTTTGACCGCGCCTAAACGCCTGCTCAATATAATGTGTATAATGACCGCAGCAGTAGTTGGAAACCAGGACTCGAAACAACAAGGCTTCGCAGATCCCCAGCACCTAAACTACCGTATCTCAGTCACATGCAACCCGATGACGAGAATAAATGCGGCGCATCATCAACAAACCAAAGGGCACACACCAGCCAATCCGCCGAAACGGACAACATAATAAAGCACCCTCAGTCGCCAACATAATAAGCCTGAATATTCTCGCCAATACTTGCAAGTTCTGCCCGCTTACCCCCGAGAGGTTTCACGTACTATTGAACTCTCTCTTCAAAGTTCTTTTCAACTTTCCCTCACGGTACTTGTTCGCTATCGGTCTCGTGGTCATATTTAGCCTTAGATGGAGTTTACCACCGTATTTGGGCTGCACTCCCAAGCAACCCGACTCTACGGACGAGACGCACTGCACACTACAGTTAACATACGGGCCTAGCACCCTCCATGGGCTATGGCCCCGTTCAAGAGGGACTTAGTTAACCATTCTGCACAGGCAATGTCTCGTCCCAAACGCCACATGTCTTTGCATCCGGGGGACACAAGATTCGGCGCTGGGCTCTTCCCTTTTCGCTCGCCGTTACTAAGGGAATCCTTGTTAGTTTCTTTTCCTCCGCTTATTAATATGCTTAAATTTAGCGGGTAATCTCGCCTAATCTGAGGTCGTATGTTTGATTATATTTTTATTTTTGAGTGATATTTAATGTTTTCGCCAATTCAGTCGCTAAGCAACTTTTTTCAAATTAGCTAGTCTATATTAAAATAGACTTCCATTTAAATACCAACAGTTCTAACCGGGCTGTAAAACCCAGCGATGAAACTTTTATATACAACAAACAGGCCACATATATGTTAGATCAACTTTTAGCCATTAGTTTGAGTAACTTTGGTTTTTATTTCAAATCCGACCCTCAGCCAGACGTGGTCTAAAATTTACTTTAGACCGCCATTTGCGTTCGAAACGTCGGTGTTCATGTGTCCTGCAGTTCACACGTCTGCACGCAGTTAGCTGCGTTCTTCATCGACCCACGAGCCGAGTGATCCACCACTCGAGGTTGTTTTTATATTTGTTTTATTGTTTTATGATATTTCATAATAACGGTTTTGCTTGCGCTCAGTCATACAAACTTTTTTAAAACTTTTGTACTAGATAGAGCTCAAATTTGAGAGAAACAAACTGTGGACTCGCAAAGCAGATACGGTAGTACTGGCGAATAAAAATCTTTAAGGTACACTGTATTGACCACCAGTACTAATGTTTTCCAGCTGCATACATGAGTCACGGTGTTTTTCTCGGTGTTGGTGTATGTAACACAATGGTTCCATACCGAGACAAAGCATCACTAGTTCTCAACATAACATTCGAACCTAAGCGTTACTCTGCTCGCTAGACAACAACTTGTTAAGGTTGTGCCATAATTTATTTTGTATTAAAGTTCGGTAATGATCCTTCCGCAGGTTCACCTACGGAAACCTTGTTACGACTTTTACTTCCTCTAAGTAATCAAGTTTGGTCATCTTTCCAGAGCGACAACGCGACCCGAAAGCCACACTGACGACCAGTCCGAAGGCCTCACTAAATCACTCGATCGGTAGTAGCGACGGGCGGTGTGTACAAAGGGCAGGGACGTAATCGACGCAAGCTTATGACTCGCGCCTACTGGGAATTCCTCGTTCATGGGGAATAATTGCAATCCCCAATCCCCATCACGAAGGAGGTTCAACGGGTTTCCCAACCCTTTCGGGTAGGGAACACACGCTGATTCCTTCAGTGTAGCGCGCGTGCAGCCCAGAACATCTAAGGGCATCACAGACCTGTTATTGCTCAATCTCGTGCGGCTAAACGCCGCCCGTCCCTCTAAGAAGCTGCGATAGACCCACAAAGGGATCTAACGTCTAGTTAGTAGGCCAGAGTCTCGTTCGTTATCGGAATTAACCAGACAAATCGCTCCACCAACTAAGAACGGCCATGCACCACCACCCACCGAATCAAGAAAGAGCTCTCAATCTGTCAATCCTTCCGGTGTCCGGGCCTGGTGAGATTTCCCGTGTTGAGTCAAATTAAGCCGCAGGCTCCACTCCTGGTGGTGCCCTTCCGTCAATTCCTTTAAGTTTCAGCTTTGCAACCATACTTCCCCCGGAATCCAAATACTCTGGTTTCCCGGAGGCTGCCCGCTAAGTCATTCAGTTAACGATAGCGGATCGCCGGTCGACATCGTTTATGGTTAGAACTAGGGCGGTATCTGATCGCCTTCGAACCTCTAACTTTCGTTCTTGATTAATGAAAACATTCTTGGCAAATGCTTTCGCAGTAGTTCGTCTTGCGACGATCCAAGAATTTCACCTCTAACGTCGCAGTACGAATGCCCCCGTCTGTCCCTATTAATCATTACCTCGACTCCGAAAGCCAACGAAATAGAACCGAGATCCTATTCCATTATTCCATGCACTAATGTTCAGGCTGTAGCGCCTGCTTTGAGCACTCCAATTTTTTCAAAGTAAACGTGCTGGCCACTTATGGCACTCGGTTAAGAGAACCATAAACGAACCAACAAGATCGTCCGGGCAAACAGTAAACACCGCAAGGTGCACCACTCGCCCGAAACCGAGATCCAACTACGAGCTTTTTAACCGCAGCAACATTAATATACGCTATTGGAGCTGGAATTACCGCGGCTGCTGGCACCAGACTTGCCCTCCAATAGATCCTCGTTAAAGGATTTAAAGTGTACTCATTCCGATTACGGAGCCTCATAAGAGTTCCGTATCGTTATTTTTCGTCACTACCTCCCCGAGCTGGGAGTGGGTAATTTGCGCGCCTGCTGCCTTCCTTGGATGTGGTAGCCGTTTCTCAGGCTCCCTCTCCGGAATCGAACCCTGATTCCCCGTTACCCGTTACCACCATGGTAGGCGCATAACCTACCATCGACAGTTGATAAGGCAGACACTTGAAAGATACGTCGCCGGTACGAGACCGTGCGATCAGCAAAGTTATTCAGAGTCACCAATGTAACGGACCCGAAGGCCCGATTGGCTTTGATCTAATAAAAGCGCTCCTTCCACGAGGGTTGGAGCTCAGCGCATGTATTAGCTCTAGAATTACCACAGTTATCCAAGTAGTAAGTGCGATCTAAGGAACCATAACTGATGTAATGAGCCATTCGCGGTTTCACTTTATTTTCGCTTGAACTTAGACATGCATGGCTTAATCTTTGAGACAAGCATATGACTACTGGCAGGATCAACCAGGTAGCTATTATTTAATATATGTATTATATATATTTTTCATAGCTTACACATTCTCTAGTTAAAGAGCAACGTGCGTGATTTTCATCGGTCGCTGTTTTGTTAAAACAACATTTATTCACTTTTGCAACAAACCATCTCAAGCCTAATATTATATTTGACTTTCAATAGAGTTCAAAAGTTTTATCGGTCGGAGTTTTACAAAGGAACATCATATCATTTGTGTCTCACATCTGCCAAAGCAAAATGAAACGCGGCTGTGAACCTCTGATTTCGTTGGTTATTTTGTCCATCTCTATTAAAGATGAAGTCAAACGACAAAAGCTTTAAACTGTAAATACATACAGGCCTTTTCGTTAACGAACCAAACCACCACTGACAAGCACAAGTTTTACATAGCATTTTTCAAACCAGCCATTCATGTGTTGCTTGTTGCGAGCGGTTTCTCTGCCGGTACTTTTGCTCAAAATTTCGTAGGGTACCCCCGTCATTTGAGCTTGATTTCGGCTAAGAGACTCTGTACATATTACAAAATACATTGAAATTGTACACGTAGCAGAGATTTATCGGTTCAAAAGGTATGAAGAGTATGTGGAAAACACTTTTGGAATCTGTAAAGCAAGACGGGTCAAAGCGGCCATCGAAAAGCGCGACTATACATGTACCAGGAATAACAGTCACAACCTTAGAAATTCACTTTTTTTTATACCTCATTACAAGGCCCACTCTAACAGCAGCAAATGAATCTCCGCAGTCGATTTATTAAACCAGTCGTAGTAGTCGCACAATAATAATACAGCCTCACTTTATCCTTCTTATTTCTTCCTTCTTTTTCCCCTCTCCATGAAGATTTTGGGATATATAACAAAATTAAGCAAGAGAACCTGTAGCCTGGTTTGTAAAAGCGAATTTAAGCATTCCCGTGAGTATCTGATGCACCAAAAGCTCATCTCCGTCGTTTAAATCTTCTACCACATATCCTCTTATGTACGGCTTAACCCTTTCGCTTAAAATGGGTTTACTCTTGTAACTTGTTTGTTAAGAGGCTGGTCTGTGTCTCGTGTATGCACTTTGAAAAAAATCCAATCTACCATGCCAACCTACATATGCATACATATGAAGCTATGTACTTTATTATAAACGACATTTTGTTGATTAAACAATTTACGTATTATGTTTATAAATCTGGACAATTTATGTAAGCCAAATAAGTATTTTCATTTTTTTTGATAAAATAATATTATATTTTAAAAAATACACAAAATTTAATCATTTTTTTTTCTAATTATTAATACATGATTACTTGTACGCAATTGTGTTGACAAAGCATTTATTTTATGAACAAAGTAAAAGTCGACGACCGACTACTGAGTATGCATGCAAATCTAATCATGCAAAAATCCATGCATTTTCAATCGTGCGTACGTATGAGGTAGTCCGCCTCTCATTCACACTTGCTGTTCGACTCATTTCGTCAGCACGCTGTTCAACATGCATACATGCATGTCACGGGCCTCAGTATTTCTCTTTTGAGTCGTTCGGCCGATAAATTATCAAAATTCATAAAAATGGTTAATTTTCAAGATTTGAAATTATAAAAAAAAATTCAAACAAAATAAATTAAGTATAGCATTTTTGCGATTGAGCTCTGGGACAGCACGATTGTTATTAGCTACGTAGTAGTGTATCAACGTGACACTTACTTGTATTTCCTTATACACGGCAACATGCAACGCTGTCGACGAGTTGGGTACGTTTTCATCTCTGCTGGGCTCTAAAGTGCGATAATTTACGACAAATTTTACGATTTTTTAAATTGAAGTAAAAACATACTTTCGAAATACATTGTTATTCAGTTTCATGTAAGTATAGGTATTGTTTTGCAGTTGCTATGGCAACCAACTAACCTAACAGTGGTAACATAATACCAGTGATGCTAATTGTTTTTACTGTTTTGTAATTTAGATAATTCCTTAATTTGAACATATATTTCATATTTCAATACGTAAATAAGTATAAATAATATAAAAACTGACCATTTTCATCGTTTTTATAGTTAAACATTTCTGTTGATTTTGTCATATATGCTTCAAAATTCATCTTTCTTTCGAATTTCATTCAATTATGCTTCTACGATGTAAACTAGTCTAAATCGTCCAAAAACCCCAAAAGAAAAAAGTTTAGTAACAAAATTTTTCTAATTTTTCATTGATGATGACTGTACTTTCATGCTGATACACATGTTGAAATGGGAGAATAATTTGACTTTTTTTCAGAATTTTGAAAATTTTGACATTTTCTTGTATTATGTTGTAGCTTAGCAGGTAAATATACTGTATTAACTCGAAAAAGTGAAAACATTTATTTCGAAAGTATGGTTTTCTTCAATTTATAAATGCGTCCAATCCGGCTAAATTATCATCACTTTAGAGCCTAGCCGAGTGAAAGCCCACCAACTCTCGCGCTGTGTGCACAAAGCGGCGGTATCAACTCCGCTCGGCTGCAACTCCGGGGTAGGAATTGTGCTTATTGTTTTCATGATTTTTTTATCTTTATTATGATGAAAATTAAAATTTACAAAAAAAGTCTGCAAAAATCATTAGAATATGAAAATAAAGACTTTAAACTCCTTATAGTTTGACAATATTTATCATCTCAATGATTGCACATGTGGATTGACTTTGCCAATTTATGTGTCTAAATGCATCTGTTTTTTTTATTTGATTCGCTTACAATGTAAATTAATCTATAATATCCTGCGAAAATGTTGAACGTAATGACGAAAATATTATTAACTTGTCAACGTTGTTGTTCTAACTTGTACATATATGTATTTCCTTATATATGGCCAAATGAAGTAGTCGACGACGTCAGATTAAATATGCAAATCTGCTGACGCGTCGCTCCTCAAGTCGTGTGTGTGAGGTTGGTGTAGGTCCGCCTCTTATTCACACTTGCTGAAGGACTCTTCACTTGCATATCGTCAGCACGCTGCAACAATGCATACATACCCGGGTGGTGTCGGTATTCTCTTTTGAGTTGTTCGGCTGACGAATTTTCCAAAAATTTCATAAAAAATTACTTAATATTTTTCAGTTTTTGAAATAAAAAAAAAATATGGTACAAATTACACTTGATTGGATTTCTGGTGATTCATGATAAACGGCGCTGACATGACGGCAGCAAGGTTAGGTCGTGTTGGATTGGGTTGGGGCGTCGCTATGGCAACCAACCAACCTAACCTAACCTAACCAGATGTTAACGTAATACCGCTGCTGCTACAAATTTCTAACTATTTTTACTGTTTTGCTAGATAATATACCTTGCTTTTGAGCATATATTTCATATTTAAATACGTAAATAAGTATAAAAAATATCAAAATTGACCATTTTTATCGTTTTTACAACTAAAATGTTTGTGTTGATTTTGTCAATTTTTGCGTCAAAAATCATTTTTTTTCTGAATTTCATTCAATTATTGTTTCTACAATGTAAACTAGTCTAAATCATCCAAAAAATTATAAAGAAAAAAGTTTATTAAGAAAATTTTACCAATTTTTCAATGATGATGACTGTACTTTCATGCAGTTACACATGTTCAAATGGGTATATAATTTTGACTTTTTTTGAGAATTTCGATATTTTGGACATTTTCTTCAAGTATGTTGTAGCTTAGCAAGTAAATATACTGTATTAACTCGAAAAAGTGAAAAAATTTATTTCGAAAGTATGGTTTTTGTTCAATTTATAAAATGCGTCCAAATTTCCGCTCGGCTAAATTATCGTCACTTTCGAGCCGAGCCGAGAGAAACGTCTCCAACTCTCACGCCGTGTGCACAAAGTTGCGGTGTCAACTCCGCTCGGCTGCAACTCCGGGATAGGAAATGAGCTTGTACGCTCATTTGCTTAATAGACAAGTAGTAGTCGCAGTATCAACTTCGCTCGGCTGCAATTCCGGGGGAAGTGTGGTTGCAGAGCTCGAGTTAATAGGTACATATGCGTACAATATATTGCTTACCCATGGTGGTTCAGCGAGAGAACTGTGTTGTCATGGTAACTATAAATTTTACATGCTTCATTGTATTCATGATTTTTTGATATTTATTATGATGGAACTGAAATTTGCAAAAAAAAGCAAAGTTTGCAAAAAAAACATTAGAATATGAAATTAAAGACTTAAAACTTATTATAGTTTGCCAATATTTGTCATTTTAATAATTTAAGATGTGCACTTATTTTGCCAATTTGTGTCAAAATGCATCAATTTTTGTAATTTAATTCGTTTACAATATAAATTAGTCTGCAATATCGTGATAAAAACTTGAAACATGAAAAGTTATGACGAAAAAATATTATTAACTTGTCAAGGTTGTTGTTCTAACTTGTACATATATGTATTTCCTTATATATGGCCAAATGAAGTAGTCGACGACGACGGCGGATTATGCAAATCTGCTGCTGGTGCTTCTCTCCTCAAGTCGTGTACTCGTTCACACTTGAGCTCCTCATTTGCATATCGTCAGCACGCTGCAACAATGCATACATAAATACACGGGTGGTGTCGGTATTCTCTTTTGAGTTGTTCGGCTGACGAAATTTCCAAAAGTTCATAAAAAATTAGTTAATATTTTCAAGTTTTTGAAATAAAAAAAATATGGTAAAAATTACAATTTTTTGGATTTCTTGTGATTGATGATGAATGACGTTTTTTTTTCAGCGAGGTGGTAGGCTGAGGTTGCTATGCTGTGGTATGGCAACCAACCTAACCTAACCACGAGGTTAGGTTGGTTACCATAGTAACCAACCTAACCTAACCTAACCACATGTTAATGTAATACCGCTGCTACAAATTTCTAACTATTTTTACTATTTTGCTAGATAATACGTTGATTTTGGGCATATATTTCATATTTTAAGACGTAAACAAGTATAAAAAATATAAAAATCGACCATTTTTATCCTTTGTACAATTAAAACGTATGTGTTGATTTTGTCAATTTATGCATCAAAATGCATCTTTTTTGCTGAATTTCATTCAATTATTGCTTCTACGATGTAAATGAGTCCAAGTCATCCAAAAACCCCGAAATAATAAAAAAAAAGTTTTTTTTTTGAAAATTTTACCAATTTTTCAATGATGATGATGATGATGACTGTACTTTCATGCTGATACACATGTTGAAATGGGAGGATAATTTTGACTTTTTTTCAGAATTTTGATAATTTGCACATTTTCTTGCAAAATATGCTAGCTTAGCACGTAAGTACACGGTATGGAGTGGAAAAAGTGAGAAAACTTTTTTTAAAGTATGATTTTTCCTCAATATACAAAACGCGACCAAATTTCCGCTCGGCTCAAATTATCATCCCTTTTGCCTCCGCGAGTACCAAAACGTCTCCTACTCATACGCTGTATGCACATAGTTGCGGTATCAACTTCGCTCGGCTGCAATTCCGGGGGAAGTGTGGTTGCAGAGCTCGAGTTAATAGGTACATATGCGTACAATATATTGCTTACCCATGGTGGTCCAGCGAGAGAACTGTGTTGTCATGGTAACTCAAATAAAGAAATCATCAAAATTTATCTACTTTACTCTTATTTTTCAAAATTTTATTAAAAATCTGTTACTTCATATTTTGTTTAGTTTTTTCTTTGAAATTATATAACCAAAAATTCAAACAACAATTAGGATTGTTTGAATTTCTTGTGACAACTGATGCTGCTGGAAGCATCAAGCTTGGGTTGGGGTAAAGGAAATTAGTCCAAACCTCGCAAAAAACCGAAAAAAAAAATTTTAATAATTTGTCAGTGCACTTCACCATGCAGTTACACACGTTCAAATGGGACAATACTGTTGAGTTTTTTGAGAATTTTGAAAATTTTGACATTTTCATGTATTACGTACTAGGTTAGTAGACTATATAAAGTGGAAAAGCTGGAAATAATTTTTTTGAATGAAATGATGATTTTTCATCAAGTTAGGAAACGCGAG